GGGGGGGGGGGGGGGGGGGAGGGGAAGGGTGGTGCTGGGATGAATTGGGAGATTGGGATTGACATATATACAACTAATATGTATAAAATGGATAACTAATAAGAACCTGCTGTATAAAAAAATAAATTAAAAAAATAATGTTGAAATGAAAAAAAAGATATATATAATATCAGCTGTGCACAGAGCTTGTCATCACAAGAGACAGCCTACCACAGGGAAAAAAAAAAAAAAGGCGGCTGTCTTCACAATATATTTAGGTTCCTCAAGTGAAATTACATTTGATTAGATTATTGGGGTTTTGTCTTATACTTTTCTGGTTGAGGTTTACTGGATTCTTAACAGATAACTTAGAATAAAATATTTCAAATGTTATGTATAAATTTAATCCAATTGAATGAGAAGAATATGGACCCAAAGAACTAATTTGTTTGTTTAAAAAGTCAGTTCCAATTGGAACTGCATCTAACTGTGGGAGCCACCAAAGACTAGGAAAGTTGCCAGATTGATACAGCTATTCTCAGGGGTCAAGGAAGTCGTCACTCATCACTGGCTTGGACTAACAGTTTAATTTAATTTTAAAGATGGAAATAAGTAATCCTGATTTAAGTCCTCACAGTTCCTATTGCCCTGCAAGTATCTGATGGCTTTAATTTTTCAAAAGGGCGTATTCTTTGCTGAGCACCTCTGGTGGACAGGAGGAAGGACGGCAGCATTCTCTGTTCACACAGTAAAACAGGATGTGGGCTTCACTAGTTCATTCCCATATTCCCAGGGAGCACCTACTGCATGCCGGGTCCTGGGAACAGAGATGAGTAAGTCACAGCCCAAGTTCTAGCTCATAAGAATTTCAGTGTTATGGGGAAAGTGTAAAAACGAAAACCTGGAACATGCTATAGAAGGACAAAGAAAGGCACGCAGCTGCCTTGGGGTGGAAGAAAAGGTAAAGGAGGAGAGTTTGTCCCACGGCCAAGACAGGAGAGTGCGTGCCAGGTAGAGCGCATAGGGCAAAGGAAGGCCAGCTTGAGGGCTCACGTGGAGAAACAAGAGTGTGGTAGAAGAATCAGGTTCAGCTGAGGAGAAGCTGCTTAAGAAGAAGCTGGAGAAAAAGGCAGGGGCCAGTGAGGGATCCTGTATGCCACCTGTATGCCATGATGAGGAGTTAATAAAGCTTCAGGAGTATGATTTGGAGTCCTAGTTAAATTGACTCTCTAAAAGTCAAGTTTTTATTATTACAGTATCATTTATACAGTTGGATATTAATTATCCATGCACATATTTTTTAAACTATTTTCATACCCATTCTGTTATCTCATAGCCCAATTCATCATGCTTCTTGACTTCTATCCTTCTACTAAACCCTCAAATATTAAGAAGGTGCAAATTATTTTACATCAGGCGAAGCAAAACATAGGAATGTAAATCCACTATTCCCTCCCAACCAAATGAATATATGCTTCAGAAGCCAAATAGGAAGATCTTTTTTTTTAAATTTTATTCCATACGAATTCACTTTTTCAAAAAGGTAAATCTATATTTGTCTCAGTTTCTAAAACTTCATTATTAAGACGTAGAAATAATGAGGTGAATTTCTGATATTTAAAGATCTGCAATAAGACCTACTTGCACCATTACTTAATTTTAAATTACATCAGTATTTGAGAATATTAATTTTCCTGACTTTCCTCCTTCTATCCTAACAAAAAATGACCTTGAAAATCATGTATCACTGCTTGATTAAACATCAGATTGTATTCAAAGAACTGCTCTGGGCAACAGGAACAATTCTCGGAATTTTAATGAAAACATTTTATTTTGGAGGCAAGCCAAGCATGTTTTACAGCCCTAAATTCCTCTGCCTGTTTAAATTTTTTTTAAGTTCAAAACTAATCAGTGATTAAAATAAAATGCATACAATATTGTAAATCAACTACACTCCAATAAAAATTTTTTAAAATAAAATAAAATGCATAACAAAGCAAATTGGTAACCCTACACTGCCACTTGAATCTGAATAAAACTATAAACTGGTTTTTATCAGAAATACTTAAGTTGTTAATAAATGACAGGGTCATGCAGTTTATGTAGATAAATTTGAATACCTACGTATTGGAAGTCCTGTAAAATCGATAAAAATAATAGATGCTTAGGAATTTTTTTTAAGGGAAAAGCATAGATCCTCCCAATGTAAATGAGTAATCATCACATCAATTATTTCCTTTTTTATCTGCGAAACATAATCCCATCTCATTTACCTGCTTAGTTAGTCTATATATAGGACATTACTCTTGAGGCAACTATCTACCAGCTAACATCAGGAAAATACTGACTTCCCTGTACTACCTTCTGTGAGGGTAATCCAATTTTAGTGATAAAAATAGACAAATTAAAAGGTTAAAACTCTACTGACTGAGTAAAGCAGGTTTACACTGTTTTGTTCCTCTTAATACAGAATGCAAGGCTATGGAAAGCCTTTTAAGACAGGTAAGAAACAATTTTACTAAGTTATTCTTAGAATAAAGCTACCAAAAGAACAGTCTGTCTAACCTGATTTAGACATCATGAGAATCAGTAACATGTGACACTCTGCCTACTCTATGAAAATGAAAATTTAGGCACAAAATGTTGCATTGTTATTGTAAAGCCTCATTTATTTTGAAGTGATAAAAACCTGCAAAAGAGGAAAGGCAAAAAGGGTGAATAGTGAGCTCAAAAGAATCCAGTCAGCCTTGTTCCCTTCTGATTCTTTTACATCACTATCCAATTAAGTCTATAGTAACAGAGCAGGACATGTCAAATACAGGTCCTTCATGAAGTCCCTGTGCTGGTCTGAAACTTTCAAATACCATTGAAAGTTTTCAAACCATACCAACAATGCAAATTATTGATGTTTCCATTTAATTTTAACTTTAATCAAAATCTTCCAAAATTACTGAAAACAAAAGGCACATTACTTACTCTCTTTATACCTTAGGTGATTCTTATGACTTGTACATGTATTATACAAAAAATAGTTTTCCACCCTCTATCAATTTGGAAATCATGATTATGAACACTCCAATGACAAATGTCATCCTTTTAAAGAACAGAGTACTACATTTTAACCTATTTACCGTGTTTGTTTGAAACTGCACAGGCCTCCATCAGAGTATTTTGTATACTACTTTCTTCTAAAAGGTCTGATAATTACACATGTAAACCCCATGAGGTTCAAATTGTTTATTTATCTAAAAAACACTTAAAATTCACTCTTGCTTGGCAGGGCAAATCCCTGACAATATTTAAGTTCTCTGATTTACATCTCTCTCGTACCTTCT